TGAGTCTTTCTGCAGTTAACTTTCTATGCTTTGATGTGAATATTTACTAACTTTTCTCCAATGTTTTTCAGATATGGTGCGAGTAAATCTAGATCGGCCACCTAGAAGAAAGCACGGGGAATTACTATAAACGAAGGGGGATGAAATCTTCCAAAGAAGAGAAGGCAAGAACTCCCACCAGGAGACAAAGGCAAAAGAAAGAAGCAGACATCTGAGAGAGTTGTTGTTGAGACCCGGGCTGAGTTGTCTGAGCCTGAAGTAGCCTTTGATTTCCCGAAGGGATGAGCTCCGGGGTAGATCTCAAACCACATCCACCAGAGTTCCCTCAGCTGCCACTCCTCCTGCAAGAGAATCAGTGCCAACTCAGGAACCCCCTGTAACCCCTGTGCTCCATGTCGTTCCTCCCAGGCTTCTGAACAGATTGGAAAGAAATGGGCTACGAACTATTCTCGTGGAGAAGATCTTATCGACAGAAGGCATTTTAGGAAAGTATTCCAATGTTAGAGACACCCTTAACTTTCATAGATTTGGGCAGTTCACCAGGCCTCGAGGCCCTTATATTCCTTCATGGGTCCAAGAATTTTATACGGCATTATGGTAAGTTTGTCCAAAAGAGCAAAAAAAAGGTGAGTGAGTTCAGACCAGTTAAGTCGGTCATGGTTCGAGGAAAGGAAGTTGAATGCAATAGCGAGTACATCAACTTTTTTCTTGACAGAGGACATGAATTTGACTACCCCAACCTAACTATCGCTACAACTTCATTAGACGAACTAAAGGGATGGATGGCACCCTTCATTTCAGACACAACCCCAAGGTGGATCGAGGCGGGAGTCCCAATTGATAAAAGGGAATTGAGTGTCGCTGCGTGTTATTGGTTAGGATTTATCAGCAGCTCCATCATGCCCTCCTAAAATGAGTCTGTTCTCCGTCTTTCTAAGACAACCTGTCTGGGATCGATTATTTCTAGGAAGAGCATTCATATGAGGCTTTTTATTGAGCAAGAGATGGCCATGCAGAGTCAGACCTCACTGCCATTCCCAGTAATGATCATAGACTATGACGGCGAGTAGGAGTGCCCCGGGATATTACGAGGGATATCAAGATTACCCCTTCCTCCTCCACTGATATTCGACGTATTGAGGCCGAGTACACTAGAGATGAGGCTGATAAGAGAATAGCAGCCCTGACAGATATATCTCTAGAGGTGGATGTCGACTCTATACCTACAGAGGAGTCTTTGCCTACTCTGGCCTCTGGGCCTTCAGGTACTTCTGCTCCTCCTCATAGGCCCCAGGTACATCATCTTCCTTACAATAGATAAAGATCACTCAGACAATGATTCTGAAGATGAGGCATCTTGCTCAGTCAGCAGACGTGAGAGCTACCAGATTGGAGAGAGATGTCCCATTAATGATTGAGGTTGTGATTCTAGCTACACTGACCCCTCTGTAGACTTCTATTGACACTCTCACTACGAGCGTTGAGGCTTGTGAGAGAAGACAGGGGATGACCTCCGAGGTTCCGACTTTGAAAGTCGAGGTAGCAGATTTGAGGAAAGACGTAGACTATTTGAAGTCTACCGACTTCACTTCATTGATTCAGGTTGCAGATGATGTGGATGCTCGTGAGACCTCAGGGATTCCTCTAGATACTATCGGCGATGCACACTAGGATGAGCCTGCAGTTGAAGAGTTGGATACTAAAACTGATGAGGAGCAGATTGGGGTATATGAGGAGAACATATTCAGAGATTTGCCAGATCTAGCAGGGACGGTTGTGTAGACATCACTGGCAGAGACCTCCATGGTTGTCTCTAATGGAGTTGTTGCACTGGGCACTAAGGCCCAGATGGATGGAGAGACTACATAGACAAGATCCCTTCTTTACCTCCCTCTTTGTCTTACTCTCTTTCACTTTTTGGATACCTTACTTCATTTGCATTTGAGGACAAATGATTTTTTTTTATTCATGGTGAGGTGAGGCCTACTTTTTATGTTAATATTGATGTTTGATGTTTTGTTTATATATTTGGGTCGTTATGCTTACAATTGTGTTTTGCACTGCTTTTAGCGGATGTTTGAGCTTCTGGCTCCGTGTGCTTTAATTGTAAATGATTTTTGACCCTTCCAAAATTTTCACCCACTCTTGTATGTACTTGAATGTGGCTATTCTTTAGCAATTTTGAGTCTTAGTTTTGACCAATATCGATGACTCAAATAGTGCTCATAATAGAAAAAACATGAATGTACGGCTACAACGAGGCCAATTGAAGTTGCATAGACAATATGTGAACTCTTTGTATCTCATTGTGACTAACCAATTATCAAATTAAGTCTCTTGTGATGAACGTTGCACACTAGCGAAAGTGTGAAGTCTTGTTTGACTTTGGTGTCGATGCCTTGTGTGATGAGCTTATTGTGAACCATGCATGATAACACCTAAAATTTACCCCGTTGGTCCGATCGACTAAGTAAGGCTATCTCCTGATATGTTCTTAGGTAACTTCGAAGAGTGTGAGCAAATTTGACATATATCTCTTTTGTGGCCTACCCTGTGAGTGTGTGTGAACCTCTTTTGAACACCCCTTGAGCCATACCTTTCTTTGGAAGAAACTTGATGAAGACATGACCTCTCTTAATCCACTAACTATAATCCTCTTGATTTGTGGTTGATTGAATAGCCAAGTTAGGCCAACAACCTAAGTTGAGGGTGTGGTGAAAAGAAAAGGGCAAGTCAAGAAGTGTAAGGAAAGTCTCCTTTAACCCATGGTGCTGGGAAAAATGGAACCCCTCCATACAAAAAAAAAGAGAGAAGAAGAGAAAATAAAAGAAAGAAAAAAAGAAAAAGTCATGGAATAAAGTTATGAAAATACAAAAGCAATGGAGTTTCCGAACAATCCATGGAAAATGAATAATGGGATGACTTATGAGCACTAAAGAAAATGATGAAAGAAGAGGAAATGAAGTGTTGTGAGTACCAAATTTCATGAGGATGAAAGTGACTGAGCCTAAATGACCATACCTTTGCACTCAGCCCCATTACAAGCATTGAAAAGACCTTTTTGATCTTGAGTGAGCTGAAGCAATTGCCAATTGAAATTATGGGCAAACCTATGGGTTAAAGCTTGCATTGTGTTCTTCTCTGTGAGTGCGAGCGTTGCATTTGATTCCAGAACTTTAAATGATTGAACCATTATGTGTGAAAATGGAATCATTCTTTTGTGTGAGGGCATGTGAATACCTTTGTTGAGCTTGAACTTGCATTTGAAGCAAGTATAGTGAGCTTGAGAATCTTTAATAATGGTGTGTCACAACTTGAGTCTTTGAGTATACAATTGATCCTTGCATGAGTAAGTTGAGTCTTGTTGTGTACATTCATGATTGAGTCTTGTGTATCACTATTTGATACATCCTTTTTGAACTGCTGAACTTGAGTTTTACTTGAGGACAATCAAAAGTTTAAGTTGGGGGTGTTGATGAGTTCACAATTTGGACTCATTTAGGGCTTTATTTTGATAGATTTAGTGTCCTCAAATGCATATTTTGTCTCAATAACTGATGTAAATCCTTACGTTCTAAGTATTTGGAGTTTGAGGCAAAGCATGGACACTACTTAGCAAAAAGGAACAAGGCGGCTGAAAAGACGAAAAAAAGAAGGCTTGAGGATCGCCTAATTCATTAGGCGAGTTGTCGAATGGCCTTAATATCGCCTAATGTTCCAGTGTGCTGAGCCCTGAAGGAAAAGATGAAGTCGACAGTGAAAATGAGCAGTCGGCGCATCGTCGAGCAGTTGTACTATATCGCCCAATGATTCAAAATGCGAAGATGCTGAAGGCAAAAGCTGAAAGGCGATGAACCAGACAAAAGGGCGTATCGCCGAGTGCATCGACGATCCCAACTAACTGCGCCGAGTGGTCCTTCGCAACACAAATCTTTAAAAACTATAAATACCCATTTAGTTCTGTAGCTTAGTATCAATCAAGAACTTTATCAAGTTGTAGAGAATTATTACTGAGACTTAGAATATTTTCAGTTTTTAGTTCTTAGAGTTATTGGGAAACATTATTCTTAAGCTTGAAGGTTTTGAAGGTTTTCAACTCCAAGAAATTGGAAGTGGGTATCCAAGAGTCTTCATCCTAGACGTGTTTAAAGACATTTTCTATCGTACCCACTTGATGGAAACACTATTTGGTATTGCTTTCTATCTCTTTTTCATGTCTAGCTAAAACCCCAATTCTTGGGGTGTGATTTTGTGAATATGGGTTAAATTTCTTGTTGGGTACTGCTTATTGTTACTCTATTATTTGTTGTTTAAATGTGATTTCATTTAGTAGTTGCGTTTGAACTTAATGAGATTGTAGTTGCAAATATGATTTCATCTTAGTGTTTTTGGCTTGCTCGAGAGAGGTTTTAAAACTAAGACTACTAAATCGATAGTCGGTGGTTATTGGGTCGTCATGGGTTCAGCTCAAGAGAGTGAATCCTAGACCTTCTCCTACACATTCAACTCAAGAGAGTGAATGGGCTAAGGCGGAGGTTGTGCTTAATTGCTGCAACTCGGTGTTCGAGAGAAACCGAGTTGATTTGGAGTAAGTTGCTCGAGAGAGAATTTAGCCCCTCTAAAGTCTAGCCTAGTTACAAATATTCAGCGACTTACTATCAATAGCATTTACCCAATAGTATATTTTATCCCATATTGCCATCACATCCCAAGAGTCCCATCTCCCTATCTTGCATCTTTATATTTCCGCTATTTTTGTTTTTTAGTTGAATACAAACCCCCCATTTGATAATTGACATTCGTGTAACCGTTAAAATTAGTATGTTTTTATTTGTTAATGTTTATAGCTATGATTGATTAGAACTTGAATTTACTTGTCTATTAATTCTTGCAACCACTCCCTTGGGACTCTACCCCAACCCATTCGGTTGGTTTATATTACTGCACACGATCATTGACACTTGAATTGGAAGTCGTGTCTTTGATTACGCGTGAAACAATCAGTCACCTCCGGATTGAAGAGCATAAAAGTGGTTCTTCTTGGGAGCATCAGAATTTGAACCACTAGGATGGACTTGCTTGCCCTCTCTTCCTTGAGCCCTTAGCATGGGACAATCTCTCTTCATATAGCCGCTCTTCCCACAACTAAAGCAACCATCCGTGCCAACTAAGCACTTGCCATCATGCTTTTTGCCACACTTTGCACAACTAGGTCTTTCAACATAAGAGCTACCACTATTACCTCCTTATAGCTTATGGTTAGACTCCCTATCTTTGATGACCTTTGGAGCACTAGAAGAGCCTTGGTTGGAAAACCTTTTCTTGAACCTTGGCTTACCTTGCACCTCAAATTTACCCTTGGAAGAATTTCCATCATCGATTCTTTCCCTCTTCACTTCTCTATTCACTTGCTTGAGCTTTTGTTCCTAAATTTGTTCGGCATGAACCATAAGACGTGAAATATTCATACTTGGAAAGAGCATTGCCGAACGACAATCATTGACTACCAAGTCGGATACCCTCATAACAAATTTGTTCATCTTGGCCCTATAGTCCGCCACTAAGGTTGGAGCATACTTAGACAATTGGGTGAACTTAAGGCTATACTCATTCACACTCATACCTCATTTGCTAAGGTTGATGAATTCTTGCATCTTTCGTTCCCTCAACTCTAGGGGGAAGAACCTATCAAGGAATACTGACTTGAACAATCCCCAATTTACCGAGCCCGCTCTTACGAGTCTCTCATCCTCCCATTTTTCATGCCAATCTTGAGCTACATCTTTCAATTGGTAGGCGGCTAGTTTCGCCTTCTCTTGTGGAGAACCTCCCATAAAATCAAGCACCTTAAACACTTCATCAATAAACCTTTGTGGGTCTTCATCCACTTTGGAGCCATAGAACATAGGGGGATTCATTCTTGTGAAATCCCTTATCCTTGAAGCGGTTTTACTTGTATTGGGGTTCACTTGAACTCTAGCATCCCTGGTGACTTGAGTCGTTAAAGCATGAGTTAATGTTTGGAGAGCCATCCTTGTTTCCACATTTTTTAAATCCCTCTCATTATTAGGAGCTTGAGGACCTTGAGGCTCTTGAGGACCTTGGGGAGGAACTCCCTCATTTACAATCTCCTCTTCCATCCTTCTTGCGGCCGCCCTTCTTGTAGTCATATCCTATATGCACAAGAAAAGAGTTAGGAAAAGGACTTCATAGAGTTAAAACTCTAAGGCATGACTCAAGAGTAATGAAAGGAAGTGAAATATCCTAAACATCTTATAGCCTATCATTCATAAGTGTGGTGCGCTTCACACTCATGAACATGACTCTACTAGATGTGGTTCATGAGACATCATCCTAGAATCATTCTAAAACTTGTGCTCTGATACCAAATTTTTTATGACCCGGGGTTACCCCCTAGAAGTAACACGACGTATTTGACCTCGAAGGGCTCTCATACAAGCCCTTAGCATAATCATAAACATAAAGTCATAGTAATGATGCAGAAAAATTCAAAACTTTTACAATCAAAGTCAACTTGTTTTTCAATAAACGAATATAAGAGTCTAGATCTTGTCTCAATCACCATATAGAACCATAGAGAATACAATTTGGGTCAAAGCCTTTTACATCAACAAAGTCTCGAAATAAAAAGTACAATAGAAACTAGAAATGGATAATGTCTTGTCCTCGGACCATGAGGACTCACCAAGCTTAGGGAATAGTCAACCCAAGCTTCCCTTGAAAGAAAAAGTACGTCTCAACGACCGGAACCTACACTCATAGTAACGGTAGAAATATAAGTTAGCACATAAAGTACTAAGTATGAAACCATGCACAAAAATCCTTAAGACATGCTTAAAAGGACATTTAGTTGAAATCATGCATTTATCATGTTTAAAGGTCATTATGCACATTTATGAAAAAACATAAGTCAAACCAACATATAAGCAACCCAAAAGCCATACTAGTGCAATGCAAAGGTAAGATCCCATATCCCTACCAATTGCTAAGTATCACATTTAGGTTACCAACAACTTACATATCATACCTTTGCCTCATTCATAACCAATATACATAAGTAAGGAGTCATTCATGTTCATAACTTGTAATAAGTAAAGTCAACCTTCACATCCATACTTATCTTACATACATAATCCATAAGTCTTCATAACCTAATAGAACCTCACCATAGCCCCTCTTAAAGAACACTTGTGCAATGTATAAGTGAATTCCCATACCCCCACTCATACTAAGTAATACATCTGAAGAAGTCATAATTAAAGTCCATGTTCTTATCATAGTTCATATTCATATCATATAGGGACAATAGCCATAACCAACATAGACCATGTGAGTTATATGGAATCCAGTGTTCTACCCCCACACCGAAAAGAGGTGTCCTACTTGCCTAAGGTAGAACATACATTTTAGCTTTTTGGTGAATTCACTATCTAAAGACCTATGTGGGCAACATAGTTATGGGATAAGAAGATTTCTTCTAGAAACCCTAACTACTAACGTGGATGTTTCCATCTCATGAGATAACTATATTGGGAAACCAACTACTAATATGAAGGAACCCATCTCATACTCATTCGGTGCTAAGCATACTTCCCTTTAGAATTCATATTAAGTCTTTACTTAAGTTCATATTCATGAGAGAATGCACTAGGCACTAAAACCAACATACATCATAATAGCTCATAGACTCATTAGGCGAGGATATCCTTTCAACCTTAGAATTATCAAAATGTGAGTAATCCTTTCACATCATATTCATAGTGTGTTCATGAGAATGACATTTCAATCAACACAACAAGTTTATCATCAACATACATACATACTTCATGCATAATCAAATGTAAAGGAATAGGGAAGACAGATCTTGCATCAATACCACAATTACACAATAGTCATAAGAACATCATTAGCTAAGTGAATCACAAGTTGATATACAATCCTCATGAACATGTATATACCCTAACTAGTTGCCCTTCAAGGTTATGAATCAAGATCAACCCTAACTTCTAGAATTACCACATTAGATAAAGGGGTGTCATGATTCAACAACTTAATCAATGTAAATTTAATCAATTATCAAGCTCCCATCATCAATCAAGCCATACCATAGTTCACAATTTGGGAAGAAGGGCGAATCATGGGTCCAAGGGAGATTTTTATCATAATTCAATAATACTCCAACATTCCAATCATAAATCATCATAATCAACCATTATAAAACCATAATTAAACAATGGAAAACGTTTTGGAAGAAGACCCATGACAATAGATTGAAAACCCTAGGTTTGGGGGATCTGAAATCTTGAAAACATAGTTTGAAGGGACACTTTGGGTGATAGCTACCCAAAGATGAAAAGCATCCATACCTTGACTAAGAAACTCCACGAAATTTGGGGAAGATCCTTGAAAATCCACAAATCCTAGCTTCAATGGCTCCTTTCTTCCTCTCTGTGTCTAGAGAGAGAAATATTGAGAGAGGAGGAAGTTTTTGATTTCTATTGGATCTTTTTGTATTAAGACCTAGAATAATGGATTTTGACTTAAAAACAACATATATACTTCCACTAAAAATACCCAAAACAACCCCACTTTAATTGGACTAAAAGGGAAATGACTTGGTTGAACTTTATTTAAGTGCCTCTGTTAGGGACCACGAGCCACTCTTCATGAGCCGTGCTAAGGAACACAACTCGTGGTCCCGCCCATGGCAATGAGGTAGTGGCTTGGCATATGGTGCCTTAGGCTGACAAGCCCAAGGCATTACCACGAGGGGCTCCACGAGCCATTGTCAAGACCATGAACTGTAGTCCTTCTCGTGGTCCTTGAGGCAGTGAGCTTGCCATTTGGGGTCCTTGGCTACTTTGCCCAAGTCTTCTTCACAAAGGGCTCCACGAGCCGTGGTCCCTCTTGTGAAGTTGAGGTAGTAGCTAGGACTTTGGGTGGCTTCTCTCCTTTGGCCAAGGTCACTCCACGAGGCCTCCCATGAGCCGTGGTCATGACCACGAGCCGTGGTGGTGGCCGTGGAGCTTGAGGCAGTGTGCTCAAGTTTGGGGCAGTCTTGGCCTTTGGCCTTGGCTTGCCCCCTTTTCTTGGCACTTGTCCCTTAGGCCTTGACTCCTAAAACCCTTATTTCAAGTTTATATGGTCTACTAATCTATGGGTAGTCATTTTATAGTTTTTAATCCTTACGTTAGGATCTAGTTTAACCTACCATTTTCTAGGGTGTTACATCTTCCCACTTCTATGTAGGAATACTAATATCTTGGGACAAACCTCCCAGCTTCTGATGATCAACTTTCACTTGTTGACAATTAGGACACTTAGCCACAAATTCTACAATATCCTTTTCATCCCATTCCACCAATATTCCTCCGGCAAGTCACCGTAAATCTTGGTGGCTCCCGGGTAAATGAAATATTGAGAACTACGGGGTTCTGATAAGATTTGCTTTCTTAAGTCATCAATAATGGAAACACACAAACGACCTTTATCTCTAAGCTCACCATTCCCCCCCCTCCCCTAGTAGAAAGCCTCAATGGAATTTGTAAGCACCACTTTCTTCAACTCAACCAAAATCGGATCAAGACCTTGCTTGGCTTTTGCATCCGACACAAATGACGATTCTGAACCATTATGAACAATAACACAACCTTCATTAGAATCAACAAACGGCACATTGTCACAACCCGAGCCTATACCCTGGGAGGGACTGGCACTCGAGAACCATTGATGGTCCCAAGCGAACCCTTGGCCTGCCTTTCTTACTCAACGAAAGAATTTACTCAAGATAAATACTTTTAAAAATAGTACACTGAACTGCTCAATAAATAGCTGAAAATGTAATAAATAACATTCAATGCTAAAATGGCAACTAAAGTCTCAACTTAACTGAAAAGGAAAAGTAAAGACTCATCAACTAACATCAACTAACTCTGTCTATGAAACCTCTAAACTCTGAGGGATATCGGGACAAGACCCCAATCATCCTAACAATTGAAATAAGAAAGCAATAAAACAAAACATAACCAAAGGGATCCTCCGAAAAGCAAGGAGGCCCACGAACTGACTCTGAGTGCTCAACTAGATTCAATGATGCGCTGGATGCTGATCCTGGTTACCTGTGTCTGCATCATACGAAGATACAAGACAAATGTCAAAAGTACATTGAATGTACGAGTATGCGAGGTAAATTCTTAAACAAGACATAAGCTTGAAAGGAGCTGAAGAACTTACATGGCTTAACTCATCTCAACATAACTAAACTCATTTCAATATAAAACAGTTTAAAACAAGTGCAATGTAAAGAAAAGTTGTTTAAAACATGATATCAACTCTGTGTGTATGCAAAGATACATAAAACTCTGAAACGTATCTTCAAATACAATAAACTGTGTATATAAGAATACAATTACTTCTATGGGAGTTTCTTTAACTGACAACCATCAATTAAGAGCTATTGTGATGATACAACATTTTTCCTCACGCTGCCAGGGCTGTCCTATACCTTGCCGAGGGTATAAAACCTGAAATACAAAGTGGATCCACTAGTCTATGCTAAAAATCACTAAAGGAATCATCTAAAAATTATGACCCTTTTCATCCCATGACGGCTACATAGTTTATGGGTACTGTGAGTTGTCTGAACTCACCTCCATATCGGTGCTCAATACTACTCCTAAAAATATGATACTAGCTCTTATGTTTACAAACATACTTCTTTCTGTGATTTGATATATTTGCTCAGAAACTTAGCTCAAAGGCTATCTTGGAAATCAAAGTTTCCTCTCTTGCTTAATTGTGAAAGCATTTACTCTTTTCTAAAAACTAGCTCAAAGGCTCTTTGGAAATCTCAGTTTCCTTTCTTATTTAAATGTAAAAACATTTTAAACTCTTTGGAAATACATAGTCCCCATATAATTCTTTGAAGAAATGAACTTCAATCTGTACTCTTTACTCGTTACTCAACTTGAACTTTAAGTCTTAAACCAAAGTAAAAAGCATTTGCAAAATACTTCTTGAAAGGACTCTAAGAACTTCCTAGACTTGGCTCTTAACTTTCCTTGAATTTAAATTTATGGATTCAAGGTTATGATTCATGTTTTTGGATGATTTCTAGATGCTTAGACGTTATTTAGAGTTGTTAGAATCA